ATCTCTTCCCGCGGGTGTCGCAAAGCACCTGCCAATGATTCATGGACTGATCCGGGGACATATTGTCCTCCCATGTGATTGGATTTATTTATTAATTTAATTGCATCTCAACAAGCATCTGATTTCTCTTGATATCTGTGCCTGGGGTTTACAACTGCCCAGCCCAATCTCTCTTGTGAGTTAGATTGTCCAGGGGTCTGGTCCTGCTGGACCCACACCTGGAAGACACGCAGGGCAGGGCTGAGCAGTGGGTTGGGGATAAAGACTGGGAGAGAGCCCAGGGGAGCTGGTGGGAAGCACCATCGGTAGCGATCCTCCCTTTGTCTATCGCTCCCCTTGGGCAGTGGGCTTGTGCGCGCAAGAGGCATCTACAACTCCTGCTTCTGGAGGACGGCACGTAGCTGTGAGCACCACGGTCTGATGGTCTCCGTGGACAAACTGGGAAGAGTTCCCACAGCTTTTCTTTCTTTTTGTTGGAAACAGAATCTATAAGGTGGAAGAGAGACAACGTGCCTTGTTGGGTACCATTGCTGTAGGTGGCTGATGCCATGCCGGCAGCTCTCAGACGAGGTCGTGCCAGTCCCAGTTCCCAGCTGAAGCATCTCTGCTTGGGGAATCAGGGCATAGAAGCACCTTGTTCCTCTGAGCTTTCGGTGGAGAGGTGATGGGGGAGAAGCCCAGGTCTCAGCTGCCGGTGCCTTTAGCTATGGACCAAGCTCACCTTCCCCTCGCTGATGTGTTTAAATGGCTTCGTCTGGGGCTGCAGAGGAGCAGGGGTGTCAGGGTGGGCTCGGTCGGTGTCCCAGCTGGGTGGTGCCAACCATCGGGGTCGGGGCTGCCAGCCCAGCTAAGCCAGGCTCCGGTCTGCACCACCCCCAGCAGCCCCTCAGCCGGGGGGGATTTAGCGAGGCAGGAGGAGATGTGTTTTCATGGCACGGTGTCTAGGTGAGTGAGTGCCTTTTCCATTCTGGAAATTCAGACCTTCTGAGACTTGGACATAGATTTATGAAATAATTTATCCTGGAGCATAGAAAGCCAAAGTTAGGAGCCTCTCAACCTCTCGAGCTTCAGCAAACCAAACCTCTCGATAGTCTGGCACGAAGTAAGAGTTCAGCAGAAAGCGAGGAAGAAGTCCAGCAACGCTGCCCGGGGGGATTCTCTGCCCTCATTCATTACAGCCATGAATGAGAGGCTTTTTTTAAAGTTTTCCCCTTACTCTTTGAGCTGGCTGTGGTTCCCTGCCTTAATTCCTCACTAATAACAAGCACTTGACTGGAGCAGGGTGGTACCGGCGTGGTGGCCGCTGCTGTGATGGGGACGATAAAGGATGGTGGTTAAAGAGCGGGTTAGGTGCACGTTCCATACACCAGCTCAGCGTTGGGTTCGGCACTTTCTGCTCAGTGTCTGGAGATGTGCAGCGTTGCCTGAAGCCGGAGCCCCGGGTACGGC